ATTTTTTGGTACATATGAAATTAGTGATACCTCCCTCACCATGTCATATAGGATAGTGTATAGTTAATAATCATAGTTACATGGATTATTTTAAACCATATGGATGTATTTACTTTTAAACCAAGTGGAGGCTACATGATACCTATTTCTCCTAAGTAGTATCATATGGATGTATTTACGAAGACTCTAATTAATTATATAACATATATTTCTAATATTATGACATAACGATATATCCATTTTAGTATTTTGAAAACCTCAAGTGAGGGTTGCATTTTTTGGTTCGTCAATGGCTCAACTAAGTTTAGGCCTATTCATGTTCCAAATCATGAAGAAGTGGTCGATGTTAAAGCAATAGTTTTTTTTATTATATAAATAAAAAAATACTTTATAAAAGAGTTGTCAAATAGATAAAATATAGAAGATCTCACGTGTAAGTTGGTTTTAGGTGATGATAGTATCATCATCGTCGACTTTTATCAATTGTATAGTTTGTGTATTTTTATTTATATTTTAGTTTAGAGTTCATTTAAAGATGTGTACATATGTTTTATAATTTTGTCTATACTTATTATGTAAGTATATCAAATGCATACTTCGATTCCTACTGAAAGGCTTCTAATGCCAATTGATAATATCATTGAGGTATAATACTTTAATATTTTATATTTATATCTTTAAAATATGATACTTTATTTATTATTTTATTTTATTTATGGATACATATATAGGTACAACAAAAATACGCCAAGTGTCAAAAGCTTGAAATCAAAAGATTACATCCTTCAAGATAAAATAGACTTGGCCATACATAGATAATTTTTATTTCAAAATTCTTCTTTATAATATTCTTGCAAAACTTTTTTAAACTCTAAAATATCTTTAAATACCTATAAAACATGAATAAATTATGTGTCAAATATCATAAATAAATTATTATATTAAACAGTATCATATCAACAAATTATAGATTTGATAAATTTTTACTTATCCAACAATATATAGCTCATCGATGATAAGTTCATCTTCATTTGGATATGGAGTTAAAAGATTAAGGCTTCTATAACTCTTTCCTCATAGAGATTTTTATACATATCTAGATTAAAATCGATAAGCTCATCGACAATATCATAGACATCATGTATATTATGACATATATCTTCCTCGACTTTTTTTGTTGTTCTTTAATCAATCCATTCTTGTTCAAATATCTTATAACTATCTTCATTGTCATCGATTATAAATGTCTCATTCCAATCAAAATTATAAGTTTGAGATTGTGCAATTTGCTCTTGTAACTCATGATTGTTTCCAAAAAGTTTGATGTTTAAAGTGGTGTAGAAGTAGATTTTTCAACTTGACCTACCTAGTATTGTCTAGTATTAGATGACTACTTTTCAAAAGTATTTCTAATTTCCAAGTATCGACAATGGTTATATTTCTTTGAAACTGTCCATCTTATCTAAAGTGTTAAATATTTTAGTATTTAAATGACATTAGAAATTGATAATTCTAAGTTATTAGGAATGAAACAAAGATGTATTTATCGAATATTATATATTTTTTGCTTACTTCGACGAACGTCACATTGAGATATCAACTTTTGTTGTTGTAACGATGATTTGCTGATGCAGCAGACGCTTCAAAGGCGTTGCCATGAATCAATTGAATCGAATCGGGTAGCTAAAATTTGCTCCAACTAATTCACCTCAAAATAAATCGAGTCAAAGATAATCGATATACATGCCATGCACATACCAATGAAATCTCTCTGTTTGTTCCTTATTACATATTATTTTTAGTGTTTAAAGTGGCGATGATCAAGCCATGTGCACGCATCTTAAAGCGTGGTTGAGAACAGTAGGTCGGGAGTTGATACGGAGGGGAAGACTTTAAAGACTAAATCTGTGCTCGACATCACTCGGGCGATTACGTCGTCGCCTACAATTTTCTGTAGCTTACTTTCTTGTTATTGCTCCTTTTATTGACCCTTCCAAGATCGATGCCCCATTGCCTCCTCCCGCAACCGCCGCCACCACCGCCAACGTTTCCTCCCCATCTCCGCTTCCATGGGAGAGCAACCCCCCCCCTCCGCCGCCGCCTCTTCCTCCTCCTCCCCCAATCCCTCTCCCGCTACCACCACCACCATCTCTCTCCGCCCCCGGAAGACCCGAAAGGTTTCCACCTCGTCCTCTTCTTCCGCGGCCCAAGACGCCTCCAAGAAAACCCCCTCCTCCACCGGCCGCCTTGCCGTCCGCGTGGTTCCCCGGCCGCTGTCCGCCGACGGGGAGATCGCTGCCGCCCTACGTCACCTCCGCGCCGCCGACCCCCACCTTGCCCGCGTCATCGACGCCCACGAGCCGCCCCTCTTCCAGTGCCTCCACCCCCCATTCCATGCCCTTGCCCGCAGCATCCTTTACCAGCAGCTCGCCTTCAAGGCCGCCACCTCCGTCTACACCCGCTTCCTGTCCCTCTGCGGCGGTGAGGCCGGCGTCGTTCCCGAGGCTGTCCTCGCCCTCAACCCGCACCAGCTCCGCCAGATCGGTGTCTCTGGCCGCAAGGCTTCCTACCTCCATGACCTCGCCCGCAAGTACCACAATGGCATCCTCTCCGACGCCGCCATCGTGGCCATGGATGACAAGTCGCTGTTTACCATGCTCACTATGGTCAAGGGCATCGGCGCCTGGTCCGTACACATGTTCATGATCTTTTCGCTCCACCGCCCGGATGTGCTCCCCGTCGGCGATCTGGGTGTTCGTAAGGGGGTGCAGATGCTATATAGCCTCGAGGATGTCCCACGGCCTTCGCAGATGGAGCAGCTCTGCGAGCGGTGGAGACCCTATCGCTCCGTCGGGTCCTGGTACATGTGGCGCCTCGGTGAAGCGAGGGGCGCACCAACTATGGCTACATCCAGCACTGAAGGAATCGATATTTTTGCCATGGGAGGAGGAACAGTGCAGCAGGCACAGCTTATCGATCCTATTCAGATGCTTCCCAGTCTTGGATGAAACTGCAAGATTCCTACTGGTACTGCTACTTGAAATGGCTATTTGTCCTTCTTCCTTTTCTCCTATTCAGCGAGCTGAGCTGCTGTCTTTGCTGAAGTTCTCTGCTTTGTTTCATGCCCATTGTTGTATGTGCTCATTAGCTGGAGCATTTCCAATGCCATGCTATTGGACTTCTTATGAATGACAGGTTGGCCTTTCATCTGTCTGATACTTCACCCTAGACTTCATAATTTCTCCGTGGCAATTGGTGGAAGCAACATATTGTCATAATGTTATTGGTCATCTAGTAGACTGCAAATCGTATTCTACATCAATATCAGTCACTAAAAGCTAGGATATTTGCTCCTCTATTGCAAAATCATTTCTTACTATATATCTAACTGAATTTTATTATCCATTTACCCTGATGGTAATAATTTATTGGTAAATCAGAGAGAAACCGATTTGCAAGTTTCAATTTCTGCTAATTTTTGCAGCCAAATCAACATGCCACTTCTTAACATAATTGAATGTTAATGCAAAATGAACACAATTATCTTTTGGCATTGTAGTTGTTTAAGAAATTATTTTCTGATAATTGCTATTCAGTATCTCCATAACTCAATGTGCAATCACTTGTCAAACTAAGAACAACTAAATCCCTTGGTGCTTTTTGCATGTTTTATCAAAAATTCATCATACCGCATTGTACCGCTCGGTTTGGGTAGTACATAATGGTCCGACAAGGGATCAATATGGGCGGTATATTGGTACACTCTCATGTACCATATGTCAATATGCTCGGTACGGCTCGGAATAGCTCGATACGTGCCATACTGATAGTTGGTTGGTATATCGGTATGGATCAATAAAGTGAACCATGATCAAAACCTTGGTTGAGTACATCGTGAAGACACAGTAGAGGTGGAGACAAGGCATGCTTCGTGGAGCCTGTACAAGAGGCAAACAAGAGTACTAGCGACTGAAGAAAGCATTTGTAATACCTTGTGATATCATTCCTCTTCCTTTAAGTTAAATGTGTGTACGTATATATATCTCCTGTCTCCATTGTTTTGAGCTATGGCGGATGGAAAAAGTTGGCAGATGGCAAAAGCATTGGTTGTGTCTAAAGATGAGTGTACCAGTGTCGACATCTCCTCCACTGTTTTACAATTGTTGTCAGCGCTTTTACAGTCTTTCTTCTAGTTCCATCTTCTTCTGATAGTATCCATTGATAGGAATATTTGCAAAATCTGAAAAGACCTTCTTCTTCTTCTCCTATCCATCTTATGATAGTATCCAATGATAGGCATAGTTGCAAAATCTGAAAAGACCTTTTTATCATTAAGATCTTAGTTTCAAAAATCCATTAAATTTGTTCCATTGATTTTTTTCTTTGTCTTCTCTATGACATTCATCCAAGACAGCCTCCAAAAATCAAGATCGAGTTCAGATTTGTCACTGAATTTAGGTTCATGACTGGGTTGTATTAGTTGAAAATTGAAATCAGTTAATTTGGACTTTGCTAAGTCCTACTTGATCAGCTTGGGATTCATTAGGATTAGTTGGGATCTACCTGAATTTGTTGTGTCAAGTAAATCAGTTGGAATCCATTATAATTAATTGGAGTTGTCTGAGATTGGTCAGAAATGGCTTGAATTTGTTTGGATAGGGAGGTTCATTGAATCCATTGATATCAACTGAATCGGGTAAGATCTGTCAACCTAAAAAAGAAAATGTAGGATTCATGGCCGGCTTAGGTCCAGCATGATCTTGATTGGCTCAAAAGCTCTTGAGTGGTCCCCTTGTCTATTAGATTCTACTCTACCAATAGCTGGACAAAAAGCTAGGATGTCCAATAAGTCCTCTGTTTTATTCGGTGGCCAAATCATGCACATGGACATGAACTTTCATGATCATGAATCGCTTGGCTTCCACATTTGTTAGTCTCTAGATTAAATGGATGAATCCTGACATTGCTATTTAACCTGCATAATTGTTAAATGCTGTTTGTATATACATGTAGATTTTGTTAGATTGGTTAACCATCCACAGTTTGCCCAACAACCAAAATTTGAACTTATATTTCAGTTGAGTTAACCTAAGTGACGTATCTCGTATTGAAAGTCTTGGGAACTGTTCGCATTGAGTCAAAACTTTGATGGTGATGATATGAATTATAAATGAATAAGAATTAGTTAGGAGTTCTACTTGTTTTTGGATTATGAGTATAATAGTTCAGGTTTGTGTGTTTTTTTATAAATTTTTTAGATTGATGGGCATAAAATTTGTGTTTTATTTTATATCGTGGATCCTTCTCACCTTGTTTATGTATGATCTTGGGGTCCCTGGATATTAATACATCAAAAAAGTCATTTTGACTGTACAAATAATGGTCAAAGTTTAGAATGTAATTCTTATTAAATCCGTGTTTAGGCTACTTAAGAGTCGACACTAGTTATTGAGTCTATATTAGGCTATGTATTGCATTATGAGATGGATCTTCTGTGAGAGACCTGAAGTGAGTTAATCCAAAATTTATTTGAGTTCTGTTCCATGTTTAATTTTTTTCCCCCTCCCTTTTCTTTATTCCTTGTCTTCCATCCATTTACTTGAGGTTTTGAGTATTTACTTCCAAAACATGGACCTGGTTGTTGTTACTATGGGTGATGTTTTACTTCCAGCAAATTTATCGTCTCTACATCAATATGACTGTTTATTTTTTTGAGTGATCTGCAATTTAATGATTTAGTGGTCTTGTGTTATTGGGTCTTTTAATGTTTTTGTTCTATTAAAGATTATCTGAAATACAGTTGAAAAAAATAGCTAAGGTGCAGAACAATGCCAATTGTGGTTTGGTCAACTGTGGCCCAAGTATAAACCACCTACGCCTTATACCTGTTGATGGTTTTGTTTGCCTCTGATATAGAATGGCAGATGATTATGCCAACATGGTCTTGTTCCTTTTGTATGATAAGTTTGTATTTTGTTTGGTTCATCTTAATGTACTATTCTAACTGTCCCTTGATCTTGTTATATTATGTGACTAGTAAAATCTTCATTTGGATGGGCTGATCAATTATACAGATTATTTGTGTTATCACTTCCGAAATCATGATATGCTAAAGCAACAATTGTAAATCACTCATGCATGTATTGATTTGTTCCAGAATCAAGTACCTGCAGATTGTTGGAGGGTTATAAACAATTCTTGCTCAGTAAATATTGTCGCCAAGTGACTGTTGCTTTCTCCTCTCTATGATAAGAAAATAGAGCAAGTTTTCTTTTTCTGGAATTTGACTAGCGTGGCAACATTTATTTGAAGTTGAACTTACAACCTGATGAAGCTGTTGATAGAGAGGTAATAGCTTGATCTGTAGGTTTTTGCATAATTAAGATCTAAGTAGATTTTTATTCTCTGTGGTGGAAAAGTAGGACTGCTGAATTTTGAGGTCATCATAAGTTTTATAATTGCTGTTCTTTAATAGATTATGAAACCATTTTTTTGTTACAAGTTGTATATGTGACTGTGTGCTTGTGCAGAATCTCAACTTGTTAGTATTAGTGATCTCTGTGAAGCTCCACTAAGGATCTAACATGTATACAGAGTTTAATTGAGCTGCTTGTGAACTTTTGACTATTAGCTGTATCATGAGATGATTAATGCATCAAGATAAGATTTTATTTCTCTTAATCTTCTATTGTTTTACATGTTTCTGAAGTTTGTCTTTTTTTTTTTTGCATCATAATTCTCGGTGTCATGATTCGTTCCCTCTCTTCATCCCTGCCTGCATGTATAGTTTTCAAACATTAATCAGCTTAATCTTATTCTTGTTTGTTGAGTGTTTAAATTCATATATCTTGGTTTTTTTTAAAACTAAATCTGAGATAATTTCAGTTAAAATTAAAAACTTTTACTGCCTCTGATATCTTAAACAGTCATTTAGTGCAAATAAGGTTGTAAGATTTATTTGTTGCAAAGTCACTGACACAGTTGTTTATGTTAATTGAGTATCCATTTCAATCTCTTAAGATCTTATGATCTCATCATGTGATGCTCAACCAAGAATTGATTTAAATGGTCTGTTACATCGTTCTTAATTCAATGTGGTAATTTAGAAGGACACACACAAAAGAAAAAGCAGAGTGAAAAAGAGTTATGAAGGCTTGGGTGACAATGTGTGTATGAGTGAGTGAGTGAGTGAGTGAGAGAGAGAGAGAGAGAGAGAGAGAGAGAGAGAGTTGATGGGATGGTGGAGCATTATTTTCCCAATTTCTGTTCGATTTACAGGAAGCTTTTGTATGTCTCTCTCCCTTTCTGTCATCATACATAGCTGCTGCTGCTGTTAGTGTTGCATTCTCTTGTTGGGTCCATCTCAGCCTCATCTTTTCGCTGCAACAAAGAGAGCATTGAGGAGGGGCGCTTCTCTCTAAGGCTTTGATGATTGCCTTCGTTTCCCTTCTCCCGAAGAGTGATGCAGTGGGAGGAGGTGAAAGGTTTATTAAGCCTGGTTGGCTATATTATATAGAGTTGGAGTCTATGTTTTTAATTTTGAATAATACGATCTGGCATGGGCAGTACGTATTGATCTGTCAGCAGATCGATACGTGGATCATTCGTTATCGAGCGAAATGTTGAATATCGTCTCGTATTGGACGATAGATGTTATATTGGGGGATAACGATCGAAATTTTAATCATTATCACTCGACACAGGTCGGTAATAATCAAAATCGATCGTTACTAACCTGTAACAGTATTCCAACGATCAAAATGGCTGTTGGAGTCTTTTCTCATGAGTTTCGATCGTTATCGACTTGTAATAATGTTCTAACAGTCAAAATGATCGTCGGAGCCCTTTCTCATGAGTTTTTAAACTCATCTCCCTTATTTCACTCTTACACTTTTTTAAATTATCTTAAACTTTTTTTTTATACTCTCTTAAATTCTATAAACCAACGATTTATGAATTGAATCGAGACTAATTTGGGAGGATTAAGAGGAAGAACCTTTTAATCAAAGAGGTATATATTCTTTATCTTTAATTAGAGAGTAATTAAGATATTTAATATTATATTTTAATATTATATTTAGTGTGTTTAACTATTGATTAATTTGAAATTAAACAAGTCAAATGTTTATATTTCATGCATATTAAATATTGAAAGATATTTATGATGGTAAAATAAGTTTAATTAGGTTTTATTAAAATTATTTAATACTATAATTAGTGATTTTAATGATGATTTAATTAAATTATGATCGATTTTGGATCAATTTAATGTTTTTAATACGTGTTTGAC